TCATCGATTTTTACAACTTTGTTTCTATTTAGAAATCTAGATTTCTTTCTTTCTTTCTTTCTTTCTTTCTTTCTTTCTTTCTTTCTTTCTAATGTATTTTAGGATAGGGTCTACAGGGTCTTATTGTGTGGATCGGACTCGTAGTGATCCTCCTATTTACAGCCTCCCAAGTGCTGGGATTACAGACACGTGTCACCACACCCAGTCTCAATTGCTGTCTCAGCGTGCCCTGGAGGTGGAGCTAGCACTGCAGGCCAGGGGATCGAACTCCCTGCCCCTGCGTCTGCCTAAGCAGGTACTTTAATCCGCTGAGCTATTTGGCTGGCCCTTAAATTTTTTTTTTTTTTATTCTTTTGGTACAGGGTCTCACTAAACAGTTCAGATTTACAGTGATCCTCCTGCTTCAGCCTCCCCAGCACTGGGATTATACGCATGTGCCACCATGCTTAGTTTCAGGGCCAATACAGCATGTGGTTCCAGGGATCAAACTCTGGTCCTTGAGCTTGTCAGACAGGTGCTTAGACTGCCAAGCTATCTCTCCAGCTTGGAATCTACATTTTATTATTTTTTAAATTTTTTTTCTGGTATAAGGGATCAAACTCAGGACTTTGCACGTGCCAGGCAGGTGCTTACTGCCACTGAACTAGATCCCCAGCCCACGGTCATCAATTTTTGATATCAATATTATAGTGTGTTTATACAAAGGGAAAAAACTTAAAAATCTTTGTAAGATCCTTATGATGCATGATAGCAGTTCAGTGTTTCCAATGTTGTTCTTTTTTCATGTGTTCATAATTTACAAAACACTTAAATGTATTTCTTCTGAGACAAATAATGTATATGATTGCCAGTTATCTAGGATCGTTTATATTTCTGCTTGTATTATTCGAGGTCTAATAGGCTAAACAATGAACAACTATAATAACAAAGATCATATAGAACAGCAGTAATACCTTGCAGGTATCTTGGGGAAATGGACTGGAGAGGTTTGTTGAAACTATATTTTGGCAAGTGTAGTGTACGCTCTCATTTTTCCAATGTCAAGTGTTTTTCTAATCATTTTCTGCTGGTTTCATAAACTTTATTGTATCTTTGTATCAACTGTCAGAATAAAAGGCCATTAGCTACTCTTTAAACATTTTTATCATGAGATATTAATTATATAATAAATTTCATGCATGGCTGCTTAATACTATCTATCACAGAAGACTACCAGAACTAGTCTTGCACCAAAGCAACTGAACTCTTACACAAAAACTACTTCCGTGAGGACATCTATCTAGGATCTGTTCAGTCTCATGATTCTAATCACTGGTTCTTGGAACTAAGGATTATCCTTTTAGAATATATAAGTCTCCTCAGTTTTGCCTTTAAAAACTTATCCCTGGGGCTGGGAGATGGCTCAGTAGAATAAGCGTTTGCCTGGCAAGCACAAGGGCCTGAGTTCAATCCCCGGTTCCACCAAAAAAAAAAAATGAATAAATAAAAAAAATAAAAACTTATCCCTCCTGCAACCTGTTCATATATGTCTTTTGTTTACTATGGCATATATATTTTTATTTCAGTGCTGTGGTATTCTCAAATAAGTATCATTATTCTTTGAAGACTGTCTTGCTGATAGTCATTTGAGTTGGTGGTGTAAAATGAATATACTTTTCTCCAGGTTCTCTAATGCACTTTATGATTATATTATTATTTTGTAAAAGCTATCAATTTGCCTCTCTAACTACTTGAATTTTTTTCTTTTATTCTTTTTCTAGAGTTCTTGTTCTATTTTTTTAATCCCGTGATATGTAATAGTCAAAAGAAAACAAATTGTTAAGTCATATTTGGTTAATTTTATCCTTTGATTTTATTTTATGGACTCATCTACATCCTTTTCACCATATAAATAATTCATGATTAGGCCTAAAATTTGCTTAGGTATCTGTTTTTAGCTTAAGTCATACGTGATAACATATATATCTCCACTGTATGACACCAAGAAGAGCATATCTGGTTGTCTCACTTTTAGTGAGGTTCAGACTGATCAGTGGGTTTAATTGTTGCCAGTCTGACCCATTCCTTGTAAAATTCCCCACCATCCTTTTGACTAATGACGTTAGCAGTTATGATAATCACTGCTTTGATACATTATTTTTATGGGTTGAAACAGTGATTTTCTAATTTTTATCATTTCTCTTAAATTAGTTGTGATTTCTCTGTAAAAATATGTAATATACAAAATACAATGTTTTTCCATTCATCACTTAACAAAACTTTCAGGTTACCCTGAAATATAGCCTAGATGGAAAAGACAAGATAAATACTTTATTTTTCTCCTTTGTTAATTTTAGAATAAATGGTGCTTAGCAACCCAAAAAACTAAATAATTACTATTTTTAGTGAAATACTAGGTTTTTAATATTTGATGTGTTCCAACATATTTGAAATTTTTTATGTCAAGTTAATTAAAAAGGAAGCTGAGTTCTATTTCAAGCACTCATATTTGAAATGTCTGGGTAGCCTGGCTGGTTCAGTTTCATTAACTCAACTCATCCTGATTAAAAGAGTCTGAATTGGATTCGAGCCTGCATTCCTAAAAAAGTTGTCCTGTCCATTTTTCATCTCAGCCCTGAACTGCAATTTTGAATTTTATAAAAACAAAAAAATTTTTCTCTACAAATTAATTTGAAAAATTGTGATCATTTTCCTTTAAAAATCACTGTCACTATGAGGCTCATTTCTGCAATTCTTTCTTTATGCTGGGCAATACTTTTGAATGAGAAACAAAGATGAAAAGATAACTTTTCTGCTAAAGGGGAGAACTTTTTTTTCTTTAAGATAGGGTTTCACTCTGCAGATCAGGTTGTCCTTGAACTCAATTTGCAACTCTGGCTGGCTTAGAACTTGCAAGCAATTCTGTCTCAGCCTCCTGAGTGCTGGAATTACAGGCCTGTGGCACCACACCTGGCTCCAAGGGAGAATGTTTTTAAAAACGGAATCTGAATTTCATGCTCAGAATTTTTCTAAACCCAGAATGAGTCACTAGATGCTCGGAGCAAGGGTTGTTACCAGTGGAAAGTCA